CCTTTTTACTCCATGCCCACTGTTAGCTTCTCAGATAACAATAAGTGCCTTAGCCAATGCGGGTTTCATCGAAGAAGCAATATCTGAATTGCCACTCACCAATCGTGTTTTTGAAACTGACGCGATACCGCAAAATGTGAATCCTTTATCTGTATCTGTGCAGTCCTCATGCAAGAAGCGTTTAATCTTAGATTTGCGGCTTATTAACAAGCACCTGTGGAAGCAGAGAGTTAAGTTTGAAGACGTTAAGGTCGCTTTGAATTTTCTGGATGCAGGTCATTTCATGTTTTCATTTGATATTAAGAGTGGTTATCATCATGTTGGGATTTTCTCTCCTCACCAGTGTTTTTTGGGGTTTTCCTGGTATTGCAAGGGTAATGTTAGATATTTTTGCTTCCGAGTCCTTCCCCTTAGCCTTTCTTCAGCCCCTTATATCTTTATTAAGATATTTAGACCTCCCGTTTCCCACTGGAGGAGATCGACAGGGCATCCATATCGTTGTGTATCTCGACGACGGGTTAGGAGAGGCTTCTTAATATCAGGCTGCCTCGGTTAGTAGCGAGAAAGTAAAGAGGGATGTAGTTCACTCTTGCTTTGTTCCCAATTCGGAGAAATCTCTTTGGGTCCCCACCCTTGTCATTGATTGGTTGGGGTTTACTATTGATCTGTTTCAGGGCTTACTCTTTGTTCGAGGGAAGAAAATTAAGCGGGCTTTGTCCGACATTCTTTCGATTTTGGAAACTAGTCATTCTACCGCTAGAGAGCTTTCTGCTGTTGCCGGTGGAATAAGTTCTTTCAACCTGGCGGTGGGAAATGTCACCAACCTTATGACTAAATTCCTTAATATGACTATTGCTCTTCGATCGGGTTGAGATGTCAAATTTCCTTTGGCCCCCTCCGTTGGAGAGGAACTGAAGTGATTTAGGGGCTGGGGGGAGGTCATTAAAGGGCACGATGGCCTCATTTGCCACCTTCCATGGCTCCCTTCAGAGGCGGGCCGCAGTTCTTCCTGGCGTGAGCTGCAAGCGGTCTACATTTGCCTCTCTAGTTGCTCCATATCTTTAGCCGGTTGTGCTGTCCAGTGGTTTACGAATGATTGTAACATCCCTTCCATTATTTCTAATGGTAGTATGAAGCCGGATCTCCACGAACTCGCCCTGTCCATCTTTAGATTAGCTCTCGGGAACACTATGATTTGCAAGTAGACTGGGTCCCTAGATCTCTTAACGAGCGAGCGGATGCCATTAGCAGATTTATTGACCGCGATGATTGGGGAGTTTCCCTTCACTGTTTCAGCCATGTGGATGGTATTTGGGGCCCTCACTCTGTGGATCAGTTTGCCAATTCCCACAATTTTAAGCTTACTAGGTTCTATTCACACTATTGGAACCCTGGTTTTAAAGGTGTCGACGCTTTTTGCTACGACTGGGTTGGGGAGAATAATTGGCTACTACCCCCAGTGTCCCTTATTCCTCGGGTTATCAGGCATCTTGC